ACCAGGGGCCGCACCCCGCCGAGACCGAAGTTCCCCGCGCCGTCTCGCGCCACACTGCAGGGAACCCGCTATTTCCGGAACCTGCCCCTGCAGTCTCCGCAGAGGTAGCAAACCCCGAGCCTCAGTTCCCGCGTCTGTAAAATGGGACGGTAATGGGACCGGCGAGGCCAGCGAGCAGAAGCCAGGAAAACGTGCGGCGTTCAGTAGCTGCCCAGGGGTGCACCTTCTCACGGTCGGGCGAGACCCGCGGGGCCCTCGGGGCCACGCTGAGCCCAAGGGTCCGCCCGGCAGCAGGAATGTCCCGCGGGGCCGCGGCCGCCGGAAGGGGCGCGCTCCCCGCCACCCGGGCTGCGCAGGCCCTCGAGGGGAGGCGCGACTCCCGGGGACCCCGGGGCACCGCGGCGCCGCCAGGGCCGGCCGCCAAGCCGGGCAGCGCGCTCAGAGGCCCAGCGCGCACATTCCTCGGCCCGGCGGCCGCTCCTGCTGGCGAACGCCCGCGGCTGGCCGGGAGGCGCGTGTTTCCAGCGGCCTCCGCGCCCGCCTGACCGCAGCCCACACTCCGCCTCCCGCCAGGCCCGGGGGCGGGGCCAGGCCAGACCACGCCCCGGGCCTGGCCACGCCCCTCCAACCGCAGGCCACGCCCCTCCCCGGATCCCCGAGCACCCGACCGCCCATCCCCGGGGCCTCCCCCAGGCGGCACCCACCCTGTTCGCGCGACCGATGCAGACCTGAGCCTGCCCAAGGCTGCGGGGCCAGCTGTCCCGCCCGCGGGGCCCAGGCGGCTGCGTGTGGAATCTGCGGTGGACGGGAACAGCGCGCCTGCCTCTCCTGGGACTCCCGGGGCCCCGCTCCGCCCTCTGCCTCAGTCTCCCCAGCTGAGCCAGGTGTGGTGACACACACCTGTAATCCTAGCAGGCGGAAGGCTGAGGCAGGAGGGTCACCCAGATCAAGGCCAGAATTGCACAGCCAAACCCTGCCTCAAAAAACGGGGCGATCCAGGGCAGCCCCTCTCTTTATCGGGACCTGCGCGCCCCACGGCGCAGCGCAGTGCTCTGGCGCCCCGACAGCGGCCGGCGGTGGTGAACAAGTGAAGCGCCTTTGCTCGCTGGCCCTGGGCCGTCCTCCTCTCCACCCCTCCCCCCAGCCCTGGGGGCCCATGCGGGGTCGTCGGGGGTATCTGGGCCCCATCACCCGGGCCTGCACCGCCAGGAAGAGCTCTTTTAGGACCTCCTCCAACTCCTGCTCCCGGGACATCCAGGGGGAACTAAAGGAAGAGCCCAAGGGCCAGGCCGGGCTGGGGTTTATTTGAGCTTTTCCTGTGGGTTTGTGGCAGATCTCGCCATAAAGGGCATTTGCTTAGAAGGTGGGGTGATAAGAGAACTTGCCCTAAAGGGCTGTGGGCAGGACCCACCCAGTCCATAGCAGGGGCCTCCCAAACCTGAGGTCTCTAGCCCCCAGGCTGAGGCTGGCTCTGCCTCCCCCAAAGACTGAATATTTCCTGCCCGCCTCCCTGTGCTGGGTCCTCAAGAGGAAGTAGCAAATTGAAGTTTGTCACCTTCCCTTGCTGGAAATTCTCACAGACAAAAGGAAAACACTGGGGCTGGGGATTTAGCTCAGCGGCACAGCACCTGCCTGGCAAGTGCAGAGTCATGAGTTCAATTCCCAGTACTGGGAAAAAAAAAAAAAAAAAAAGGAAAACACTAAGACCAGCATCAAAACTTTGGGACATCTGAGCCTGATTTGGCAGGCTTCTGCTCACCCTTCAAAACCCCAATCACAATGCCCTCTCCTCCCACAATCCCACAAACCTTCACAGACCTATCCCTTGGGTGTTTCCAGCATCTGGGCTTCTTGCTGACCTGCTATTGACCCTACAGGCTGGAGTAGCCATGGCTGACTCTTGTCTTGCCTCCCTGACCAGTCTAGCACAAGTCTTGGGGCTGGGTTTGTGCACCTTCACAAACAAATCTGTGTCCAGAGGTCAGCAAAAAGACATCGGGGAGCCCCGTGTGCCCCTAGCTGCGTGAGCCCCCACACCAGGCCCAAGACAGCCCCACCAGACCTCAGCATCTTCCCGCCACCAGGAAGAGGGCTGGAGCCAGAGGTCTGACAGGCTCCGAGTTGAGCCGGCCCTGGCAGCCCGGGCCTCCACCTCCTCAGCCGCCCCAGCTGCTCCCAGGCAGCGCCAGCCCGGGAGCGGGGTGGCGTGAGCGTGAGTGGGCAGCTGAGTCGGAGGCAGCCCCCGGCTGGCCCCACGGAGGCCCCGCGGCAGCCCTCGAGGACATACCTGAGGTTTGGCAGGGCCGCGGCTGAGTCAGCGAGGAAGGGCGTTGGGACGGCCCTGGAAGAGCGTCTGGACCTGCGGCCCCGCGCCCTCCCCAGCCCGAAGTGTGCGTGCGGCCAGCGGTGGCCAGCTGCCTTCGTGGGCTGCACCGCGGAGGGCCCCGACACAGCCTCCTGGACATCCCGGGCCCACGGTGTCCCAAGGGCAGGGGACGAGGGGACACTGGGCAGGGGCGCAGCTGCGGCGGGCGGGATGCTATCCGTGTTGTGTACTGTGCAAGCGTCACCGTGCTCACGGTGCCAGGGACCAGCTGGGGCACAGCACGGTGGCCAGACTGTGCAGGGGGAGACCTCTGCCCACAGAGCAGGGCAGGGCAGGGCGAGCGGACAGTGACCCCGGGGCTGAGGACAGCTCGAGGCTCCGGGGGACGCGTCCTTGCCGGCGCGTGTCCCGAGGGGGGTCCCCTCTGTCCCGCCGAGCATCAGGTGTGGGGACCTGACACTCACCTGGGCCGCCGCCCCCGACACCAGCCGGTGTTTCCACCAGCACAACGCCCGCATCCCTGCCTGCCTCGGGCCAGGCTGTGCCAGGCTGGCTCTGCCCTTGGGGCCTGGGGTGCCGGCAGCCCCGACTCTGCCGGCCGACGGGCGGGACAGGCAGCAGGGAAGCGGTGGTGGCCGCGCCAGGCCTACGAGGCGTGCGGGGAGCCAGGGATGTTCAGCCAGGACAGGAGCGCTGGGCTGCGGGGTTGGACCCTGTGCAGCTCTTATGAGGGAGGGCCAGAGCCCGGCTGCAGAAGGAATCACTTCTAAGGCTGGAAGGCACACAGCCCAGGGGCGCTCGTCCTGAGAAACATTGGTGGAACCTCTCCTGCTCCCAGACCTCGCCCTGCTTGCAAGATCTGTTACTTCCAGGGTTTGCATGACCAGTCCAGCCGCCTGGAGTGCCCTTCTTGCCTCACCCACCCGGCAAACTCCTAGACATCCTTCAAAACCCAGTGCCTCTGTCTCCTTTTCCAGGAAACTTCTCCCCCCGTCTGTGGTACCCACATTTGCTGTGTGTCCGTGGGCCAGTCTTTCAACTAGGAAGTAGGAGGGAACCCAATCTCCTGAAAGCACATGTTGGGGTCTCAAGGCAACAAACAGACATTAAATGCCCTTCGGGTGAGCCTGGTCTGGGACAGAGCGGGCCTGCATCCAGTCGGTGCCCAATGTGTGTCTGTTTTTCCTGTCCTCGCCCGGCCGCTGCACTCTGCAGGCGCATTTGAAGCACTTTCTTGCTCCAAAGCTCCTCCCTCCACCTCGTGTTAGGAATGTTAAAAACCCCTGGTTCTAAAATTATAAAAGTCGAAAATGCCGTGGGTGGGACCTGGGGCCTCCCGTGCCCTGAGCCGACCCCGGGTGGCTGTGGCCAGGGTCTCTGGGGGGTCCTGGCCCCCCACTTCCCCCGCGGCGGGGCGTGTGCTGGCAGCCCAGGCGGTAGGGAATGGATTTTCCAGAAGCCGCGGCTGCATTCCAGGAGGGAGGCGGCGGCCTGGTGGCTTGGGGCAGAACCTCCTTCTCTTCCAGCCTCAGTTTCTCCACCTCGAGGGGGGCCATGGCTGCCTTTTTTTTTCCCCTTCCCTTTTTACAGTGCTGCGGATGGAACCCAGGGCCTTTGTGCTCCGCTGCATCCCCAGCCCTTTTTGTTTTTTATTCTGAGACAGGGTCTCACTAAGTTTCCCAGGCTGGGCTTGAACTTGAAATCCGCCTGCCTCAGCCTCCAAGAGGGCTGGGATGAGATCCACTGCCACGGGTGGACAGGGGTTTCGGGAGGCTGCCCCAACCGCGGCCCATGTCCGCCCCACGCCAGCCTGCTCCTCGCAGGCTTTGGCAGTGCAGCCTGACACCTCATCACCCGGGCTGGAGCCACAGCAGCTGCCACCCAGCCGCGGGGGCCCCCATTCCCTGCAGGACCCCACGGCCTCCGGGCAGGGCTCCGCGGGCTCGGCAAGCGCTGTGGGCATCCTGCTCTCAGTCACAGCCTGCGCTGCTCGGCCCCTGCGAGGCCGTGAGTCCAGAGTCCAGGGAAGCCCAGTGCCCCTCAGGTACTCTGGGGACGCACTTGGGTTTAAGCGCCTGTGTCCCCAGCCCCAGGGCACCCCGAGGGGCACAGGGAGATGCGGGGCCCTGAGCCCAGGACAGAGGCAGGCAGGATGGGAGGGGCTGGTCTGGGGCCCAGGCTGCGGGCGGGAATGGGGGTGTGCCCAGCCCGCACCCCACCCCCCAGGCTGGGACAGGCAGGGTCCGAGGGGGCAGAGCCCCGCTGAGGACTCCAGGGCAGTGTTTCCGCCCCAGATGTCCCAGGCCATCCCGCTGGGCCCCCAGCTGCCACTATGCTTGGCGTTCCGTGCCTGGCACACAGAGGTCCCACTGAGGTCGCCTGGGCCAGGCCCAGCTCCAGGCCACCACAGCCGCAGGGCCTCAGGCTGCACACACACGCGCGGCCCGCACGGTTCAGATGTGTTTCTGTCCATGGGGACGCGGTGGTGCATCCCGTAACCCCAGCACTCAGGAGGCTGAGGCAGGAAGATCCCCAAGAGTTTGAGGCCAGCCTGGGCTACATAGTGAGATTCTGCCTCAAAAAACAAAACAAAACAAAAAAGTATGTTTCTGCCCAAGGACCAGGCAGCCCGGCAACCAACCCTCAGCCGCACGCAGACACCACAGGATGGACACAAGCATCTTTAATTGAGCCCCCCAGCCCCGCCCTGACACCCCAGGGTCTCCAGGCACGAAACACAGGAACTCCCAGCTGCACAGCTGCACCAGCATGGGGACTCAGGGAAACGCTCTCCTCTCTCACGGCGCCCAGCCTGGACCCCACGCACCCCACAACCGGCCCCCGGCTTTATTTCAATAAATAACCGCAGAACAAAGCTTGGGCCAAGGACCCGGAATCCAGGTGGAGACACTGCGACAGAGGCTGCCTCAGTGGTGAGCAGGGCAGGTGCCCGGGCCCCCGGACAGCTGTCCCTGGCACGGTGCTAGCTCCACCTCCTCCAGGCAAACTTCACTTCCGGTCACACGGCAGCGTCGCCTGCCCGCCAGGTCTGCCATCCTATGTGCCCACGTTTTGCCTTGACTCTTAGCTCTGGGCAGGGGCCCCCGAAGATCGGGGAGGGGACCTCTGGGGGAGGGGAGGGGACTTACCGGGGACAGAGCTGGGCAGCGAGCTCACGGCCCGCGTCACTGGCCCCGGCGCGTGCGGGGGGCCCTCGGGGGCCGGGCCCCCCGGCCCATCTCCCTGCGGATGTCGTCCAGCGCCGCCGCCGGGGACTCCAGCAGCCTCTGGAAGAGGCTGGGCCTGGACGGCGGCTCGCGGCACTGGAAGGTGACAGCTGTGCCCGCGTCGGACCTCATCTCCCTGGAGAAGCCGTCGGACGAGCCGTCGAAACAGCGGCCGATGGCAATCTCCTTGGCCAGCCTTGGGCTCTGGTCCGTGACCGTGTAGACGCCGTAGTTGTGACCCAGGGGGTCCAGGGGCGCCAGCATGGCAAAGGCGGCCGGGTCATCGGTGGGCGCGGGCGGGGGGTGCCGCTCCAGGTAGTCCTGCAGGAGCCTGTTGACGGCCACACGGCGGCAGCTGCCCTGGGGGGTGACGGTCACCAGCGTCCTGTCCACCTGCCGCTGGTCGAACAGCATGCCGCCACACTTGAACTCCACGCAGGCGGCCGAGGTGTTGGTGTGCTGGGGGTCGCGCACACTGCGGGCGTCCCGCAGGCCATAGAGCTGCCCCTGGGTGCGGGGGTGGCTGCCCCCCGCGTTGTGGGACCGCACCACCACCTCCTGGGGGCCCTGGACCTTCACCTTGAGATAGCAGGCCCGGAACTCCTGGGGGTTGGGCCACCAGGACAGGAGGTCGCCCGTCCAGGAGGCGGGCACGCCCTCCCTGAAGGGGACCACGTTGTACTCGTACTTGTCTGACTCCACACGTGAGAAGCGGAAGTGGCTGGCGGTGATCGGTGCGTCCTGGCACTCACGCAGGCTGCGCCACGGGTACACAGGCCCGTGGGCCTCGCTGGGGTCCCCGGGCCTGGGCTTGGCCAGGTTGATGCGGAAGCCGGTGCGTTTGAAGGCCGGGTCCTCGTGGTCGGTGCGCCGGTAGCCCAGCCGGTCCAGGTAGGGCTGCGTGACCCCCACAGAGGCCGGGAGCGGCCGGGGGCGCGAGGGCGCGGGCTCCAGCTCCTCGCCGCCCAGGGTAGCGGTGACCAGCGCCGTGTAGGCATCGGGCCGGTCCTGGTCACAGAAGGCCGGGAGGCAGGCGCCATTCGGCCCGGTGACCGCGCTGTCAAAGCGGCCCCAGGCGCGCGGGTTGGCGGAGAAGCCGGGCGCAGGCTCCAGGTTCACCAGCGTCACCACGACGCCCTCCACTTGCTCGCTGGCCGTGAACTTGTCGTTGGCGAAGGCTCGGACCTTCACAAAGCAGCGGCGGCGCTCGGGCACGTCCAGGTTGAAGAGACGCCGCTCGCGGACCTCCACGTTGCCGGCCAGGAACACGCGCTCCTCGCGGCGCACGCGGGGGCCGGGGGGGCCCTGGCGCCTGAAGCGGCTCTCCTCCTCCCACAGGCCGGTCTCGGGCTCCAGCGACCACAGCCGGAGCGCCTCGGCATGGCCAGCCATGCGGATCTGGTCCGCAGCCACGCGCACAGCCACGGGCCCTGTGTGCAGCTGCTCTGCGGAGCCCGGCGCACGCAGGTCCACGGAGAACATCCCGTAGGTGCGCAGTGGGGCCAGCTCACCACTGCTGTCCACGAAGCGCAGGTCGCTGGGGGCCGCCGCGGCGGAAGCCAGGTCTCTCGGGTCCACGAAAGTCACCCGGGCCTCCACGGTCCCGACGTAGGGGCTGCCATCCGTGGCCCGGACGGACCCAGGGGGCAGCACCAGCTCCGCAATGGGTGCCTCTTCCTCGAGGCTCCCGAGGGGGATCGTGTTGCTCTGGCTGGTGTCCAACAGGACAGCCGCCGCCTTCCGCATGGCCTTGACCTCGTGGTACACGCCTGCGCCTCGGGGGTCAAAAGGCAGCACCCTGACCGTGTCCACAAACTCGCCGCGGGGGTCCACGAACGTCACCACCAGCCGCTCCTTGGAGGGCGGCACCTCGATGGTGAAGTCGCCCTGGTAGGAGGTGAAGCCGATGGACTCCGGGCCCAGGAGGATCCTGGCAAAGCTCAGGGGCTCCCCGGAGTCCGCAGCCGCCACGCGGCCCCGGACCAGCCCCCGCGGGGGCAGGCACTTCCGGCAGCCACACTCGGCCACCACCTTCACCGGCAGGACGTAGCCGGCGCAGCGGATCTCCCGGCTCTCTAGGCGGCGCACGGCGCAGCAGCGCGAGCCCAGGTCCCCACAGCGGGCACCGGAGCCCAGGGGGCCCGGGCAGGGGGTGTCCGGGCAGAGACCCACGTCCAGGTAGGTGGGGCCGCTGTCACCCGGCCTGCTGCAGTCTTCGGGGAGTTTGATGAGGTGCTCTTGCGGCTGGGGGTCACACGCTGGCTGTTCCGGGGCTGGGGAGTCAGAAGACAGCGGTCAGGGCGAGGGGACGGCTGGGGTTACTAACGGACTGGGTTTGGGGCTCAGGGAAGTCAGGGGTCAGCGTGGAGCTGGGGTCCCTGGAGCTCAGGGCTAGGGAAGCTCACGGCTAGGGACGCTCACCCAGCACTGTGAGCTGGGCGGGGCCGGAGCGCACGGTGCCCGCCTTGCTCCACGCCTTGCAGTGGTAGACACCCGCCTGCTCGGCGCGCAGCCCGCGGAGCTCCAGGTGGGCGCCAGACCCATGCTCCCGCCTGTCCAGCAGCGTCCCGTTGTGGAACCTGGGGTGCGGGGACAACATGGGACCAGGGGTGGACCCGGAACATCAGCTTCGCCAGGGGTGACCTCTTCCTGAGGACGTAGGTCCCTCCGGCACCCACCTGCTCCCTGGATAAAGCTCTCCCACATGCCAGAGGGGAAATCAAGGCCAGCATCTGCTTCTAAAAGGTTTTTCCTTTTATTTTTAAGAATTTTTTGAGACAGGGTCTCACTAAATTGCTTAGGCTGACCATGAATTTGAGACTGTCCTGCCTCAGCCTGCTGAGTAGCTGCGATGACAGGCGAGCACCACCACCAGCAACACCCCTGGTTCTAGGTCTTTGAGGCACCAAATAAGCCCTGGAAACCTGATCCAACCCAAAGCTGGAAAGAGGCCCCTTCCCAGAGCCAGGCCAACGCTCACCACGAGTACTTCTTGGGCACAGGGTTCCCCCCAGCTTTGCAGCAGAAGGTCACGTTGTGTCCAGCCTCTCGCACACGGGACTGGGGGTGCTTCACCAGGTAGGGCTTCCCTGGTGGCAACGGTGACAGGTCAGGACGCCGTCCCACCCGGCATCTCCTGGGAACCTTCCCCAGAGCGAGGCCCCTCTTCTCTGCCGCAGCCTCCGGCGGCTTCCTTCCCTGGGGCCTCAGCCAGCCCCGCCGCCTCGTCCTGCCCTCTGCCCCGGCACTCACTCAGTTTATGGAGGACAATGGTGACCGCCGAGGAGTTGGAGCTGCTGGCCCGAGCCTGGGCTGCACCCGGGGAGAAGCCGTCCACCTGGGCACTCACGCTGGCCCGGCCACTGGCACAGACCCCAGGCACCTGGAAGGCCCCGTGAGCATCGCTGGTGGCTACGGTGCCAGGCCGGGCCCGCAGGGAGACCCTGGCTCCTGACAGCGGTCGCCCGGATGAGGTGACCACAGATCCCAGGAGGATGTGGTCAGGGCACCCACAGGTGTCGGGGCTGCATCCTGGAGGGACACAGGGGCAGAAAGGCCTCTATATTCTCTGCTGGAGAGGACTTTTTGCTCGGTTAGTCACTCAACAAACACACCTGCAGCACTGCCCCCTATGTTGTGCCCCTTTGAGGCCTCAGCAACGCTTGGGGCAAAGGGATGGAGGCGAGTGTGTACGGCTGGACCAGCAGCGGGGAACTGGGGCCCAGAGGGAGGGAAGACACCCCGGCGGAGGGGCAGGAGCGGCGACTCAGAGGATGGAGACAAGTCAGCAGGGTGCGGAGTCCAGCGGGAAGCTGTGGGCCGGACTGCAGCTCCCTCCCCACCCCGCGGGCTCTGCTGAAGATGGAAAGTTCCACTGGAAACTTGCGGCAGAGGTGCTGGGAGGGCAGAGCCGGGGGTGGGGCCCCCCACTGGCCACCGAGTGCCCCCGTCCGCCCCCACGGCGAGGTCTGCAGGCCGTGTTTGTGGAGCCGGGGCGGGGCGGAGTTTCCAGTCGCCGCCTGGCTGGCTGGTGTCTGTCCGCGAGGCCTGGGCACCGGGGCCGCCAGGGTGTGAACGGCGCCCGCGTGGGCGTGAGGGGGGCAGCGCCGCGCGCGTGCACCACGCGGGCAGAGCGCACTTCTGTTCGTGCGCGCCGTGCCGCAGGGGAGGTGGCCCCAGCATCTGCCCTGGCCTTCCGGATGTGCACACAGCAAGGCTTGGGGGCCCGGGGTGCGGTGGGGGGTCGGGGGAAGGCTCTACCTGGTCCCCACCCTAGGCTCCAAGCCCATTTTCCCTCCAGGCCCTGCCCCGCCCCCCAGCCCTCCGGGAGGCTCCCTCCAAAGCCCCGCCCCTCAACGCCCGGCCACACCCACAGCCTGCCCACCCTCTAGGCCCCGCCCCCTCTACCTGGGTACCCGGGCCTCACACACGCCCGTGCCTCCAGGCCGTGCCCTGGACACACGGACTTGGGCACCTGGGGCGACACAAGCAACGCGGGCAGAGACCCCACGGCCTCTACACGGTCCACGCGACCTCCAAGGACTACAGAGGACGCTCCCTCCCCACGCACCCGCCCGCTGAAAACCTGGGGACAGTGCAGGGTGTAGGCGCCCTAGCCCCGCCACCTGCCAGAAATCCCCGCCCCCAACACGCCCCGCCCCTGGGGCCACGCCCACACGCCCCTCACCCAGCGGGCAGCGGAAGCGCACGTGGTAGTTGGAGCAGCGGCGGCCGCGCGGCTGCTCGCGGTTGAGGCACCAGAAGCCGCGCGCGGGGTTCAGGTGCACGCGCTCGCCCACCGCCGACGGCAGCGCCCAGTCCGTGGTGCGCGCCTCCAGCGCCAGCGGCCGCGGGCACACGCGTGCGGGCCCATAGTAGAAGCGGATGGCGGCCAGGCTCTCGAAGTCGCCGTCTCCACCCGGGTGGTCCACGTTGAACCAGGACGTCCACTCGCTGGGCTCTGTGGGCACCGTGCGCTGAGACCGGGGGCAGCCTGGGGGCCCCAGGGCCAAGGGTCGCCCCCACCCAGCCCCACAGGCCAGCGCCCGAGCTCTCCTCCTGCCCCCAACCCTAACCCCAGCCTCCCTCTGTGACCCCTCAGCCCGAGTCTGCCCCAGCGGAGCGGGAACCCCGTCCCGGCTGACCAACCTTCCCAGTCCTCCAGGGCCGGCGAGGGCTGGCTGGGGTGCAGCGCGCGCCGCTCCTGAGCATCTGCAGGAGCGGGGGACGGGAGCGCGATGCTGGGGACCGCTGGGACCCCCTCTGGTGCAAGAGGGAGGCCAAGGTCGCCCCCACTTGGCAGGGAAGGAAACAGGCTCTGGGAGGCCTCCTCCAGCTCCAGGCTTCCGCAGCCCCTTCCCTCAGACCCGTTACTATGGCTTGGGGAGTCCGTGTCCCCTCGGTCCCCAGGCTCGGGTCTCCTTTTTGGGGTGTCCCGCGGCCCCAAGCTTATCAGGTTCATTTGGCTCTGCATCTGGTCCCCCCCGCCTGGGGCTGAAGTCCTCCTGTAGTACCCGCTTCCTGCTCCTACCCCGCTCGCGGCCCTGGAGTCCAGCCTCACTGTCCCCGCGAGCCTGGGCAGGGTGACAGCCCGGGCCAGCACCCTCCCGCTCTGACGCCTGGGCTGCGCCGCTTCTTTGGGCGTCTCGGGTGTGTGGGAGGTGGTGGGAGGAGACCGCCCTGACCCCTGGGCGGGGGACCTGGAGATTCAGAGTCTCCAAAACGGGCTGGGTCAGACAGCCCTGGAGCCCAGGTTCCCGCCCATCGCCTGCGCCCGGGCCCCTGCGGTACCTTCCCAGAGCGGAGGGCCGGACGCGCTCCCCGCCCAGCCCCGGCAGGTCCCGAGCCCCGCGGCCCCAGCTCCGCACCCTGGGCCATGAGAGGGGACCCAGACCCCGGGGACGCGGGATCCCTCGGTCCTCTTTCCCCGCGTGGGTCCCAGGCCAGCCTCGCCTCGGGCCTCACCTCGGGCCCCCGCCAGGTGGGCGGCGGCGACACAGAGACAGAGCAGTGGCAGCCGTGACGCCATCGCGGTCGTCGGCCAGGGAGTGCGCGCTGCACCGCGCTGGGATCCGACTCCGGACTCGCCCGACCGGGGTCCGCGGATGAGGGCGGGGGCGGGGCGGGGCGCTGACCCCGCCCACCGAGAGCCTCCCCAGGCCCACGCGCGGCCCCGCCCCGCCCCGGGTCCCCCGCGCCCGCTGGAATCCCCCGCCGACCGGAAGCGGCCGCGAGCCCGGCGCGGCGCCCGACCGCAGCCCGCTCCCCCGACGCAAAGCAGGACCCGAGGCGGCGCGACGGTGGTGGCATCCGTTTATTGGGGGCGGTCACAGCGCCGCGACGCAGTCGGTGCCCGCGTAGCCTGGCAGACGCAGCGCGAACTTGCGGCGCACGTCCTCGGGCACGAACCTGCCCGCCACGAAGTGGTGGCGCCCGGAGAAGCGGCCGGCGCAGCGCTTGGGGGCCGCCAGCGACACCAGCACGTCCGGCCGCAGCCCGTCGTCTGCGTCCCCGTCGCCGGTCTCGGCGTCCCAGCCTGGGGGCCAGGAGTCGGAGCTGGGGGTGCGCCCCGCCCCGCACCCCACTCCCCTCCAGATCCAGCCTCTGCCCCGTCACGGGGTCCTGGCTGGGCCTGCCCACCAGGGAGCTGGGCCGCCCCGCCCGGGAGCCTCTGCCCTCAGGGTACCTTGTCTGGTCCCTCCTCCGCCAGACCCAGCCCCTGCCCCCAGGCTACGTTCCCGCCAAGCCCCCGCCTTCGGACCGGGTCTGGCTGCACCCCACCGCTGCCCCTGAGCCCCGCTTAGATGGCAGCCGCCTCCGTCCGCCCCAGGGTCCCCGTATGACGTAACGGGACCCCCCGCAGCAGGTCGCAGCCTCCGTGCCCACTCAGTCTCACCTGAAGCCGGGGCCTCGCACCGGAGGCCGCCGGCTCTCCCGACCCCAGCGCCCACCCTCGGGCGCAGGCTCCGAACCACCCCGCTGCGGGCTCCCTCCCCGTGGCACCCGGCGGGGGCGCTGGGACGCCGACCGCAGGGGACACCCCCGGAGCGCAGCGCCCCCGCGGAGGGTCCCGGCCAGCCGCTGTTTATCCCGTCTGCCGTCCCTAATGGCTCCAGCAGGCGCGGGGCGGCGGCCAGGGCGGCGCGGGCTCTGCCAAGTGAGCTCACGTCTGCCCAGGCCAGGGGGCCAGGGTAGGCAGCGGCACGCGGGGCGGGGCCTCGGGAAGCGGACCGGGTCGCCTGGGGCAGCGGCCTCGGTCATCCCCGGTCGTCCCCATTCCCGGGATGGGTGCTCAGCGGAGAGCACGCTCCATCCCCGCTGGGGAAACTGAGGCTCGGAGCGTGCCGACAGGCGTCCCCCCCCCCGCGCGCCCACCCGTGCCCCTGCCTGCGTGCCTGAGGGGATGTCCAGGCTCACGAGGGGGATGGACAGCAGTTTCAACGTGGCCAGCGCGCGGGTGCAGGGCCCCCCGGCCGCAGCGGGCTCCACGCCCGGGCCGAGCACGGCGTCCACCACCAGCCCGTAGGCGTCGTTGATGAGCTGCACCTGCGGGGCGGGCGGGTCAGGGGGGCCTGGGGGCAACGTCCGCCCCCGCCCCGGCCCCCCGCCGACCTCGGTGGGCAGGTAGGACAGGAAGGGGATGTCCATCTTCTCGCACTGCGTGGTCAGGTCGCGGTGCAGCAGGTCCAGCGAGCGCGTGGGGTAGAAGATGGTGGGCTCGTACTCCTGCGGCGGGAGAGGGGCATGGGGGTTCTGACCCGCCCGGCAAGCCGCGTCCCTGTCCCCTGGGACTCTAGCAGGGGGAAGATGTGGTTTCTACAGGGACCAAGTCAGGGTGAGCCTGGGGGCGCCCGCTACTCACAAACACCCGCAGGTGCCGGGCACAGACCAGCCCCACCGCCCCGTTGTGCTCCGGGCCGCACACAACCAGCACGGTCCTCTGCCTCCGGGAGAGGGCGGGCAAAGGGAACACCTGGGGGACGGCAAGGGCACAGGCTGGCGAGGGAGCACCCTCCCCGGCCGCGGGGACACGGGCCTGGGACAGGGGACAGGGTGGGGCTGGGGCCTGGAGGTCATAGAACAGGGCCAGAAGAGAGGTGTTCTGGCTAAAGGGCGGAGACCTGTTTCGCCACCCAGCGGAGCGCGGCGGAAGCTTGCCTCCGCCGCGGAGTGCGGTTTGCGCATCTTCGCCCGCGCCGCAGACAGGGCTTCGGTCCACCCTTTCTAGAGGTGGCTGCCCCTCCCTGCCCGTGTTTCCAGGCGTGGGGGGGAGCTGAAAGAGGGAGGCAACCCCCTACCATCCCCGCACCTCTTTTCCTGTCCATCTCTCTGCTATTCCTCCTCTCCCGTTTTCTTTTTGCCGTTACTGTCTAGAGTGTGCTGAGCTACATCCCTAGACCCTTTTTTTTTTTTTTTTCCTTTTGGAGACAGGGTCTCGCTATGCAGTTCAGGCTGGCCTTGAGCTCACTTATGTAACCCAGGCTGGCCTCGAACTTGCAACGATCCTCCTGCTTCAGCCTCCCGAGTGCTGGGATTACAGGCGTGCGCCACTGCGCCCGGCGCAGCCCTTTTTGTTTTGAGACAGGGTCTTGGTAAGTTGCCCAGACTGGCCTCCAACTTGTGACCTCCTGCTTCAGCCGTGACTACAGGGTGACCATCGCTCCCTTTTCAGCTCAACGTCCGCTTCCGATCCCCGGCCTCACCTCCGAGCCCCAGCCCTCCCTCTCCAGCCCCACCTCTGCCTTCAGCAAACCTGAGCGACCAAAGCCCCAGGCGCGAACTGTCTTCTCAGCCACGGGCAGGGAAGCGGCCCCGCTCCAGCCGTCTCCCCAGGCGACCTGGGTCCTGCCCAGCCGGGAACAGGGCCGAGCCCCAGTGTGGGAGGCGATGACCCCCGCTGGGCGCGACCGAGGGGTCGGAACTGACAGCCCTGGGCTCACCCTACGGCGCGCGCGCTCTGCTTGGCACGCACTTGAGAACGGGAAAAGTTCAATCCAGGTAAAGAAAGATACCCAGCTGCTCTTAAAGGGCCACAGCGTTCAGAAAAAAACGAAGGAAAAGGGAGAAAGAAGGCGGGGGGGGGGGGAGGCGCCTGGCCTGTGCGGTGGTCCTCGTGCTGAACGGGTTTCTCGCCCTTCCTCCCAGGGGACCCACCTGCTCCCCTCCCGGACACACCCGGCTTGCAGCTCCGCCTCAGGTGTGACCTCGGGCAGCGCCCGCCCGTGCCTCAGCCTGTCCAGCTTGGAGGCGAGGCCATCGTCCTAGGTCCGGGGGTCAGGTACCTTGGCCACAGCCACCGCGCTCGCATGCCCGCACAGCTCCACCAGCTGCTGCCGCCCGAAGCGGTAATCCTCCAGCAGCTCCCGCTCCAGGGCGGCCGCCTCCGCGGCGCTAGGGACAGAGAGGGATGGATTCGCGGAGACCCGCCCGTCTCAGCCGCTACCCCGGGGGAGCTCCTGCAAGCCCTGCGCTGGGGACCCTTCCTGTTCCTCAGTTGCCCGGTCCCACCAGCAGCCCGTTGAAGGACGCCGCGCGGGAAGCTGCAGCCGCAGGCCGAGGCGCGCGCGCCCTCTGGCGGCCGAAGGCGTTCTCAGGGTCTCGACGCGGAGGAAGGCGGAGGCCGGGGCTTCCAGGGCGGAGGTGGACCGGGTCCAGGCAGCGCCGGGGCGGGCGCGCGGCCCTGGGCATCTGGGCAAGGCGGGTTTGGGGGGCTGTAGGCTTTTTCGGTTTTTTGAGGCAGGGTCTCACTGTGGAGTCCAGGCTGGTCTGAACTTGCCGTCCTCTGTCTCCGCCTTCCGAGTGCTAGGGTTACAGGTGTGCGCCACCACGCCCGGCGGCAGTTTTAAGGGCTGGGGGGTGGACATGGGACTTGTGACCCCTCTCCAGGTGCAGTGAGGAAGTTAAAATATGTGCGGCCCCGCGGCTCGAGGTGAGGCTCCGTGCGCGCCTCTCCGGGCAGGCGGCCCGGGCAGTGAAAGCGCGCCCTCGCTCAGAAGGCAGTGGGGATGTAAGGCGGCAGGACCCTAAAGCAGCGCGGGCCCTCGAGGGTCGGGACCACGCCAGGGCACGGTGGGGGCCCCGGGAGCACCCGGCTGGTGGCTGGCAGGGCATGGCTGGCAGAGAGGGGGCGGCCAGGCAGGGGCCAGGTCTGCTGGTGGTGCCCGCAGTGGAGCCCTTCCCTTCCTGCTGTGGTGGCACCTGCACGGGCGGGCAAAGCAAAGCACGCAGCGGCACCCGGGACCAACAGGCCGTCGAGCGCTTGCGGGGGGAGGTGACCTGGGAGAAACGCCACCAGGAAGACGCTTCGGGGCCCCGAGGCGGGCACAGCAGGTGACTGGTGAGCTCGGGCACAGAGCCCGGGGCTGCGGCTTCGGCAGAAGTAGGGTGAGGGTGGAGGCCGAGGAAGGGGACGTCTGGGGCGGCGGGCTCCGAGCCGGGAAGCACGTGCCAGGCCCATTCAGCTCAGGGGGAGGGTCCTACAAGCTGAACGCGTCGCGCCTCTGGCTGCCGCCCCTGGGGGGCACCTGGACCTTTATCTTCAGAGTGGTCATTTCGGCGTCGGAGGGGTGCTGGGGCCCAGAGGCGGCGGGGCGGGCGAGGGACAGGGCCATTTGCTGCTGCGGGGCGCGGGAGGCCCCGTGCTGAGGGTGCCTCTGACTGCCCCCAACTGCAGCGCGGGGAACTGGGCTGCTTCCCGGAGGGCACGGGCATCCTCGGGACACCAGGCTGCGCACGCAGCGGCCCGACCCGCCAGCTCCCCGGGGCTGAGACCCAACCCCGCGGCGTCCCCGCCCGCCCCCACGCGCCCGGGACCCCCGCCCCCGCCCCATGAAGCCCTCGCTGGGGCTCGGGCAGCAGAACCCGCCCCGGGCCCTTCCCTCCTTTGCACCGGAGCGGCAAACAGGACAGATTCCCGGGGCAACCCGCGCGTCCTGGGGGCTGCGAGGCGCGGCGGAGGGGGAAAGCTGATGAATATTCATGAGGGGCCGGCCCGCGGATGTGGTTTCCCCGGTAACCGGCTCCGGAGGTGTCGGCCGCCGCGGGCTCTTTCCAGCAGAGGCAGGGCAGCCGGTCCGCGCCGTGCAGGCCCCGCTCCGCCCACCCGCCTTGGTACCAGGACCCTCCCGGCCCGGCCCTCTGCCCGCTGACCTGAGGAAACTCCGCTCCTCAGGCGCCTCCGCGGGCTCCGCGCCGCTCATGGCCGAGGCGAGCGGGTGCACGCGATCCGCTCTCGCCCGGCCTTTCAAGCGCAGCCGAGGGGCGGGCGGCGCTCACGCCCACCCAGGACACCCGCCAATCAGGAGGCGCCGCGAAGGCGCTGCGCGTGCCCATTGGGCGGTGCGTGCGGCCCACTTAACCCTTCGATCCCCGGAACAGAGCCGCCGGCGGAGGGAAGCGGGAAGCGCAGAGCGCGGGCGGCGGCGGGGAAGCTAAGGCTGGGGAAGCGGAGCGACAGGCCCACTGCGGCGGGTGCTGGCCTGGGGTGAGCGGCACGCCCGGCACTCTGGGCCCTAACTGACGGGGACCCCGGGTGTCCACGAGACAGCGTCTGGGTGGGCACGCGCGTTTATTCCCCGAGCGGGCGCCCTACGACGAGAACCACATGAAGCCGAAGCTGGCGTTGAAGACCTCCTCCGGCGTGCGCAGCCCGTACAGCTCGCCGACGATCGGGGGCACCCAGCGCGTGGTGTGGAACGTCGACTCGCCCACCTGGGGACAAGCACAGGAGGGGGAGCGAGCGTCGGGCGCTGC